TAATTGACATTATGTCCCAATGAATAAACGATTTCTCCATTCTGACCTTCATCCGGATCAGTTGCGTTCACCCTTAAAATGGTTGTACCTACAGGTGCGTTTTCATTCAAATTTACAGTGTATGTATCTTTTGTGAAAACAGGCGCATTGTCGTTTATATCTAACACATCTATCGTTATCTCCATCATTCCGGACTTTGGAGGTCTCCCTCCATCCAAAGCGGTTAACTGCAATTGTATGCGTTTTGTAGCCTCTCGGTCAAGCGGCTTTTGTAAAATCAGAATGGGAACTTTTCCGTCTTCATCACGATCTATAATTTCAATACGGAAATATTCGGTGTGGCTCAGTTTATAAGTCTGAACTGAATTACTGCCACTGTCTGGATCGTGCGCTGCCTGAAGTTGGAATCGCGCACCGGGAAGCACCGATTCACCTATTTCTAAATGCATCACCTGATCTGGGAATCTCGGAGCGTGGTCATTCACGTCTATTACATCAACAGTCACATAATGAATCTCGAGAGGATTTTCTAAAGCTATTTTTAGATTGATTAAACACGGGGTGCTTCTCTCGCACACTTCCTCTCTATCTAATTTACCGTTCACATACAAGACACCGTCATTCTGATTTACACTGAACATGGACTCGCCTGAGGTCGAGACGATGCGAAATCCTCGCTCCTTTAGTGTTCTGTGATCAATACCCAAATCCTTCGCGATATTCCCCACAGCAGCTCCGTCCTTCTGCTCTTCAGCAATCGAGTAGCGTATTTGTGCCCAAACCGTTCTGCCAAAAACAAGCGATGCAACAACGAAGAGGATTTTCACATGCCGCTCAAGCCACTGATCATGTCTCCTTTGTCCCATTTTTTTAGCACTGTATTCGTTCCACAGGAATTTAACAACGGCTGTCCAAATATTAGTCCACTAGCCACATGACGACAGATGACCGAAATACCAACGCTATGAAAGATATCACAAAGAAAACCGAAGGACAAAAGCACTGAGAAAGCCACACCGCAGGTGAAAAAGAGATCGTGTACAAATCAAGTTGATGAGAAATATAAAACGGGGAGGTACTCTGACGTTTTGAGTTGTAGGCTACTCTAGGTTTACACTGACACCTCGCGCTTTTTCATTGCATTGCTATTCATTAAACTCTGCGAATTAACAATGAGATAAAATCATGTTGAAGCTCTTGAAGTTCTTCTAACATAGGCTACCCGAAATATACATAGAAACAGAAAGTAGACTGTGTCGTATTATGCCGATAAGCGGCATCACAAATGCAGCACCACGGACAGCGACGCACTCGCTCTCGCGGGTTTTATTTTCATACATAATTTGTTCAGTCATTAGGGCACATAAAAAATTCGAATAAAATATAATTCACATAGACATGTGGCTATTAAAAACACACACCTGAAATAGATATATGTTACCATGTCCACACATTGGTGGAGATCAGACTTAATTAGAAAAAAATAAAAGTGCAATGCTGATCATGAATGCAATACAGCACAACGCCAGTCATTTGCTTACCTCTCCAGAATCTCTCCTCCTGCGATCTGGTATCACTAGAGTATTCCTATTACTGCCTGGCGCTATTGTAGAGCCGATGCTCATTCTGGGTCCAACTAACATGTACCGTTTGTCTCCAGATCTGTACTGGATGCTGTGACACAGAGTCCCGTCGTAATTTGTCTCCTGTAAATACTTGGACGAATAGTCTGTAGATTTAGAGCACTGCATCACAATCAACACGATGATGCTGATGACAAAAAGCACTGAAACCGAGCCCAAAGTGATGATCAGATAAAATGTCACGTCGTTTTCCTCCTCGTCTTTTACTGTGTTTTTAACATCAGAAGCTGCAAAAGCCTCTTTGGGCTCCACAACTTTGACAATCACAGTCGCTGTTGCTGAGAGTGAAACGTTCCCATTGTCTTTGACCAGTATGAGCAGTTTATGCTGGGCCTCGTCTGTTTCTGTGAATGAGCGAAGGGTTCTTATCTGTCCTGTATAGCGGTCCAAACTAAAGAGACTGTGGTCACTAACTTCCTGCAGTGAAAACAATAACCAGCCGTTGTATCCTATATCTGCGTCATAGGCTCTGACTTTAGTCACCAAATGACCAGCGTTCACATTCCGGGGAATCTCTTCCACACCCTCAGCAGAACCGTTAGCGCTGACTGGATATAAGATCACTGGAACGTTGTCGTTCTGATCCAGAATAAACACGTTCACTGTCACGTTACTTCTCAGAGACGGATTTCCAGAGTCTGTAGCGAGCACATGGAACTGGAACGTTTTGGTAGTTTCAAAATCAAAGCTTTTTAGTGCATAAATCTCTCCATTTTCAGCGTTAATGTTAATGAAAGATGCATGTTTGTTTTCATCTCCAGAGTCTCTCCATATGTTGTAGTTCACAACAGCATTTTCATCCACATCCCCATCAGAAGCAGACACAAAAAACAAAGACTTCCCTGGAGTATTGTTTTCCATCACATAAAATGCATAAGGGGAAACGGAGAACTCTGGACTATTGTCATTTACATCTGATACCTGGACAGTTATAGATTTAACAGAAGACAATGGTGGTTGACCTCCGTCTTTGGCTTCTAATGTGATATCATAGCGAGAAATTGTTTCTCTGTCAAGAGATGATGTTGTCACTAATGAGTATGTGTTTTCTTGAGATGACGGCATTAGTTTGAAAGGTATGTCCTCAGGTAATGAACAGGTGACTCTCCCGTTTATGCCAGAATCTAAATCAGAGACGCTTATTAAAGCCACCGTTGTGCCAGCTTTAGAGTCTTCAGGAATGGCACTCGAGAATGACGTCACTTCTATCTGAGGTGCATTGTCATTTACATCAGCAATTTTTATAGTTACACTTTTATCTGTTGTTAGAGGAACAATTCCTTTGTCTGAGGCTTGAATATCAATCTCATATTTATCTTTAATTTCAAAATCCAAAAGACCCGTCACAACAATTTCTCCTGTTATTTGATTAACATTAAACAGTTTACGCAATTTGTCATTGACATCAAGCCCTAATGAATAAACTATTTCGCCGTTCTGACCTTCATCCAAATCAGTTGCGTTCACCCTAAAGATTGTTGTTCCAACGGGCGTGTTTTCATTTAGTATTACAGTGTACGCTTCTTTTGTGAAAACGGGTGCATTGTCGTTTATATCTAACACATCTATCGTTATCTCCATCGTTCCAGACTTTGGAGGTCTCCCTCCATCTAAAGCGGTTAACTGCAGTTTCATACTTTTTGTAGCCTCTCGGTCAAGCGGCTTTTGTAAAATCAGAATGGGAACTTTCCCGTCTTCGTCACGATCTTTAATTTCAATACGGAAATATTCGGTGTGGCTCAGTTTATAAGTCTGAACTGAATTACTGCCACTGTCTGGATCGCGCGCTGCCTGAAGTTGGAATCGCGCACCGGGAAGCACCGATTCACCTATTTCTAAATGCTTCACCTGATCTGGGAATCTCGGAGCGTGGTCATTCACGTCTATTACATCAACAGTCACGTAATGAATCTCGAGAGGATTTTCTAAAGCTATTTTTAGATTGATTAAACACGGGGTGCTTCTCTCGCACACCTCCTCTCTATCTAATTTACCGTTCACATACAAGACACCGTCATTCTGATTTACACTGAACATGGACTCGCCTGAGGTCGAGACGATGCGAAATCCTCGCTCCTTTAGTGTTCTGTGATCAATACCCAAATCCTTCGCGATATTCCCCACAGCAGCTCCGTCCTTCTGCTCTTCAGCAATCGAGTAGCGTATTTGTGCCCAAACCGTTCTGCCAAAAACAAGCGATGCAACAACGAAGAGGATTTTCACATGCCGCTCAAGCCACTGATCATGTCTCCTTTGTCCCATTTTTTTTGCACAGTATTCGTTCCACAGCAATTTAACAACGGCTGTCCAAATATTAGTCCAGTAGCCACATGATAAGGATGATCGAAATGCTCTAGACCCCGAAAGATATTACGAAGAAAAACGAAGGATAAAAGCACTGAGAAAGCCGCACCACTAGCCTGGTGAAAAAGAGATCGTGTACAAATCTGTGACGGGAAAAAAACAAAAAAAAACGGGGAGGTACTTTGACGTTTTGAGTTGTACTATAGGTTTACACTGACACCTCGCGCTTTTTCATTGCATTGCTATTCATTAAACTCTCCGAATTCATAATTCATGGTGAAGTTCTTGAAGCTCGTTTAATATACCGAAAGTATACATAAAATCAAACAGAAAAGAGACAACGTCGTATTATGCCGGATAGCAAGCGGAATCACAAATCCAGCACCATGGACAGCTACCCTTCCCTCTTGCGGGATTCATTTTCATATTTGTTGAGTCTTAAGGGCACAAAATTCAAATTAAGGCATAAAAAAACATCATAAATTCAAATAATATAGAATTCTCGCCGATGCAGACAGACCTGGCAAACAAAAGACTGCACTGAAAACAAAATTAAGTGGAAAAAGAAATCCACTTTTTAACAATATGCTTAAATTATACATATTGTATAGACATTATTCCTTTCTTCACAACCCACCAAAATCAGATACAGAAGGGAGGACAAATTTCATCTCTACTCGAAGAAGCTCAAAACATGCTGCAAGATATTTAAGTGCTGCCTCAACAAAAGGACAACCAGTGGAATAGGACGGTGACTGGAGAAGAGATAAGATTTTGTACAACATACATAAAAAGGACAAAATAACATCACAAACTGCTCTATTCATACTTCCTACTTCCTACCTTTTTTTTATCAGTACAGTAATATTTCTTCTCATAATTTGATGTCTTTCTTCAAGGGTTATATGTTTGCATATGTAATATTGCTATGCTTTGGCAATGTAAAACATTATTTTTACCATCAGAAAAATAAGTCTATATGACAAATACATCTGAATATGAGAAAGAAGACAAGAATGTTCAAATAGAAACAACAGCCTGAGCAGCTTCAGTACCATGGACAGCAACCGACGTGTGTCTTAAAACTGTTTCCTACAACTAATACACAGATGTAGGAGTCATTTGCTTACCTCTCCAGAATCTCTCCTCCTGCGATCTGGTATCACTAGAGTATTCCTATTACTGCCTGGCGCTATTGTGGAGCCGATACTCATTCTGGGTCCAACTAACATGTACCGTTTGTCTCCAGATCTGTACTGGATGCTGTGACACAGAGTCCCGTCGTAATTTGTCTCCTGTAAATACTTGGACGAATAGTCTGTAGATTTAGAGCACTGCATCACAATCAACACGATGATGCTGATGACAAAAAGCACTGAAACCGAGCCCAAAGTGATGATCAGATAAAATGTCACGTCGTTTTCCTCTTCGTCTTTTACTGTGTTTTTAACATCAGAAGCTGCAAAAGCCTCTTTGGGCTCCACAACTTTGACAATCACAGTCGCTGTTGCTGAGAGTGAAACGTTCCCATTGTCTTTGACCAGAATGAGCAGTTTATGCTGGGCCTCGTCTGTTTCTGTGAATGAGCGAAGGGTTCTTATCTGTCCTGTATAGCGGTCCAAACTAAAGAGACTGTGGTCACTAACTTCCTGCAGTGAAAACAATAACCAGCCGTTGTATCCTATATCTGCGTCATAGGCTCTGACTTTAGTCACCAAATGACCAGCGTTCACATTCCGGGGAATCTCTTCCACACCCTCAGCAGAACCGTTAGCGCTGACTGGATATAAGATCACAGGAACGTTGTCGTTCTGATCCAGAATAAACACGTTCACTGTCACGTTACTGCTCAGAGACGGACTTCCAGAGTCTGTAGCAATAACTTGGAACTGGAAAGTTTTTACAGTTTCAAAGTCAAAGCTCTTGAGCGCATAAATCTCCCCATTTTCAGGGTTAATATTAATGAAAGACGTGTATTTGTTTTCCTCTGTATTTTCTCTCCATATATGATAGCTAACTACAGCATTTTCGTTTGAGTCTTTGTCAGAAGCAGACACAGAAAATAATAATTTGCCTGGGACATTATTTTCCATCACATAAAACGCATACGGAGAGAATGAGAATCCTGGACTATTGTCATTTACATCTGATATCAGAACAGTTATAGTTTTAACAGAAGACAGTGATGGCTGTCCTGCATCCTTTGCAACTATTGTGATGTCATACTGAAATTTAGTTTCCCTGTCAAGTAAAGAAGACGTAACTAAAGAATAAATATTATCTTGTGAGGACGGCATTAGTTTAAAAGGTAAATCATCGGACAGTGAACAGGAGATCTTCCCATTGAGCCCAGAGTCTAAATCAGTGACACTTATCAAAGCCACTGTAGTACCAGGTCTAGAATCCTCTGGAATGGCGCTTGAAAATGATGTCACCTCTATTTCCGGTGAATTATCATTTACATCGACGATTTTTATGACTACACTTTTATCCGTAGCAAGAGGAACAGTTCCTTTGTCAGATGCCTGAATGTCAATTTCATATATGTCTTTGACCTCAAAATCTAAAAGGCCAGTCACAATAATTTCTCCAGTGATTGAATTAACTTCAAAAAGTTCACGTAAATTATCATTAACATTATTTCCTAAAGCATAAACTACCTGTCCGTTTTGACCCTCGTCCGAATCAGTGGCATTAATCTGTACAATTGTTGTGCCCACAGGTGCGTTTTCATTCAGTATAACAGTGTTTGTTTCTTTTGTGAATACAGGCACATTATCGTTTATATCCAGTACATCAATCAATATATCTATTGAGCCAGACTTAGGAGGTCTCCCCCCATCTAAAGCAGTTAGTAATAATTTTATGTTTTTAGTCACTTCTCTGTCAAGTGGTTTGTGTAAAATCAGAATTGGAATTTTACCATCTTCTCGGTCTTTAATATCAAGACGGAAATGGTCGTTATTGCTGAGTTTGTATGTTTGAACCGAATTGATTCCACTATCAGGATCACGCGCAGCCTGTAGCGGATAGCGCGCGCCTGGCATAGCAGATTCCCAAATTTCCAGCCGCTTTTCATTCTCGGGAAACTGTGGACTGTGATCATTTACATCCAATATCTCTACAGCGACATAATGAATTTCTAGTGGGTTTTCTAGAGCGATTTTCAGATTGATTAAACACGGGGTGCTTCTTTCGCACACCTCCTCTCTGTCTATCTTACCGTTCACATACAAGACACCGTCATTCTGATTTACACTGAACATGGACTCGCCTGAGGTCGAGACGATGCGAAATCCTCGTTCCTTTAGTGTTCTGTGATCAATACCCAAATCCTTCGCGATATTCCCCACAGCAGCTCCGTCCTTCTGCTCTTCAGAAATCGAGTAGCGTATTTGTGCCCAAACTGCGCTCCCAAAAAACAGCGATACGGCAATGAAAGCGAGTTTCACGTTCAGCTCCAGCTGATGAAAGCGTTGTCTTTGTTCCATTTTTTTCTGCGATCTCAAAAACCCCTTCAGACGCAATTTCACGATCAGTCGATCAGTTGTATAGTCCCATCGTTGCGCACGTTTAAGCTGAAAACGTGTCGGTCAATGCAAAACGCTGACAAATAACGGCATCAGTGGTGAAAACGAGAAAAACGAATAAACCAAGAGGGCGGAACAAGCACACACACACAAAAAGACCCATGAACAACTGTTTGACGTCATGAGCCTTTCTCTAGGTTTACACTGACATCTCGCGATCTGAAGCGTTCGTTGCATTGCAGCGTCCAAAATATTATACTGTTGTCAAATGCATGTTATTTTATCAGTTGACTCTTAAACAATCCAACTTATATCCTTAAACATTCAATATTCTCTCATTAGACCAAACATACTGTTTATGAAAACAAGTGAGTGATTGAGTAAAAGAGAAAGAGAAAGACACAGTAGTTGCAGGAGCCAAGACCAATATCATAACTTGTAGTTGTAAAGAAACAAAATGTCTTCAGAAAACACTGAGAACACCATGGCATAAACATCAGCAACACAGGAAACCTCAACAAGGCTGTGATCAATCCGAGGGACAATGCATGAAGATAATTGTATTGTTAAGAAGAATATCAATTTACAATCCAATCAGAATCTGGATAAACATAATTAAATAAATTACAGAAACTATCCCACAGGATGTGATGTCTGGGGTCTGTTCACAAACCAACAGTTCACTAAATAGAACAAACACCCATTAGAGACTGCAGGAAGAATTCTGCAAAACTATATTGCAATGTAAATATCTAAATAATGCATGCAGAGCAGAATTGGAACAGTATCCACAAAGAATTGAGAAAAAAAAAGCCTTGCAATTCCATGCCCACCGAAATAGTAGTTATACACAGATCCGCATCATGCACAAAGCCCAGAGCCACAATTAGCTGGCCACAGAGAGAAGTCCTCTCGGCCAGTTTGTTTTAGAATTGACTTTACATTTTAAAATATGTCCAGCTGGAACACAGAGCACAAAACCCAGCTACCAAATCAAAAAATTTAAACAAAAAGATAAATGTCTAAAGCATTGGACAAAAGCAAGAGCTTAATATTAAACTGAAATATTATCAGCATAATAAATTGGCAGAATACCGACCGACCCTAAAAACCATGACCATTTACAGACAAGTGAACAACACAATCTCTCCAGAGGTGGGCCGACACAGACAGACCTGGCAAACAAACGAAATGAAGTGGAAAAAGAAATCCACTTTTTAACAATATGCTTGAATTACTCATACTTTAGGAAGACAGTATTCCTTTCTTCACAACCCAATCAGATACAGAAAGAAGGACACATTTCATTTTCACTTGGAGAAGCTCAAACAGTGATGCAAGATATGCAAGTCCTGCCACAACAAAAGGACAACCAGTGGAATAGGACCATGACTTGAGAAGAGATAAGATATTGTACATCATACATAAAAAGGAAAACATGACAAACTGCTATATTCCTACTTATATTTTATTTTATGTTATATATATATATATATATATATATATATATATATATATATATATATATATATATATATTCAACGGTTAGAAGTTTGCATATTTAATATTGATATGCTTTGGCAATGTAAAAATGTATTTTTTACCATCACAATTAAGTCTAAATGACAAGTAAATATGAATATGAAAAAGAGAAAGACACTATGTTCCATTTGAAACAACAGCCTGAGCAGCTTCAGTACCATGGACAGCAACCGACGTGTGTCTTAGAAATGTTTCCTTCAACTAATACACAGATGTAGGAGTCATTTGCTTACCTCTCCAGAATCTCTCCTCCTGCGATCTGGTATCACTAGAGTATTCCTATTAGTGCCTGGCGCTATTGTAGAGCCGATACTCATTCTGGGTCCAACTAACATGTACCGTTTGTCTCCAGATCTGTACTGGATGCTGTGACACAGAGTCCCGTCGTAATTTGTCTCCTGTAAATACTTGGACGAATAGTCTGTAGATTTAGAGCACTGCATCACAATCAACACGATGATGCTGATGACAAAAAGCACTGAAACCGAGCCCAAAGTGATGATCAGATAAAATGTCACGTCGTTTTCCTCCTCGTCTTTTACTGCGTTTTTAACATCAGAAGCTGCAAAAGCCTCTTTGGGCTCCACAACTTTGACAATCACAGTCGCTGTTGCTGAGAGTGAAACGTTCCCATTGTCTTTGACCAGTATGACCAGTTTATGCTGGGCCTCGTCTGTTTCTGTGAATGAGCGAAGGGTTCTTATCTGTCCTGTATAGCGGTCCAAACTAAAGAGACTGTGGTCACTAACTTCCGGCAGTGAAAACAATAACCAGCCGTTGTATCCTATATCTGCGTCATAGGCTCTGACTTTAGACACCAAATGACCAGCGTTCACATTCCGGGGAATCTCTTCCACACCCTCAGCAGAACCGTTAGCGCTGACTGGATATAAGATCACGGGAACGTTGTCGTTCTGATCCAGAATAAACACGTTCACTGTCACGTTACTGCTCAGAGACGGACTTCCAGAGTCTGTAGCAATAACATGGAACTGGAAAGTTTTTACGGTTTCAAAGTCAAAGCTCTTGAGCGCATAAATCTCTCCATTTTCAGGGTTAATATTGATGAAAGATGTATATTTGTTTCCCTCTGTATTTTCTCTCCATATATGATAGCTAACTACAGCATTTTCATTTGAGTCTTTGTCAGAAGCAGACACAGAAAATAATAATTTGCCTGGGACATTATTTTCTATCACATAAAACGCATACGGAGAGAATGAGAATTCCGGACTATTGTCATTTACATCTGATATCAGAACAGTTATAGTTTTAACAGAAGACAGTGATGGCTGTCCTGCATCCTTTGCAACTATTGTGATGTCATACTGAAATTTAGTTTCCCTGTCTAAAGGTGATGTGGAAACTAATGAGTATGTACTATGCTGTGAAGAAGGTATTAGTTTGAAAGGCATGTCATCTTCTAAAGAGCAAGATACTTTTCCATTGAGTCCAGAATCTAAATCAAATACACCAATCAAAGCCACAGTAGTACCAGGTCTAGAATCCTCTGGAATGGAGTTTGAAAATGATGTCACCTCTATTTCAGGAGCATTATCATTTACATCAACTATCTTTATGGTCACGCTCTTATCAGTAATCATGGGAATTAATCCCTTGTCAGATGCTTGTATATCAACCTCATAGCTGTCTTTGTCTTCAAAATCTAATAGTCCCTTTACAGTTATTTCACCAGTGATGTTGTTAATATCAAACAGCTTTCGTATTTTACTATTAACACTTTTACCAAATGAATAAATTATCTCACCATTAGGGCCCTCATCCAAATCTGTGGCGTTGACCTGTATCACGGTGGTACCTATAGGCGCATTTTCATTCAGCATGACTGAATAAACCTCTTTTGTAAACACAGGAAAGTTATCATTTATATCTAGAACATTAATTGTTATCTCCATTGTCCCAGACTTGGCAGGCTTTCCCCCATCAACAGCAATTAATTGCAAAATAATGTTTCGAATAACCTCACGGTCTAAAGGCTTTTGTAAAATCAAGATAGGAATTTTACCGTCTTCTCCGCGATCTTTGACTTCAAGTCGGAAATTATCATTGTGACTGAGTTTGTAATGATGCACAGAATTGCTGCCACTATCAGAATCGCGCGCAGCCTCAAGCTGAAAGCGCGCACCGGGCAGGGCAGATTCCCCAATCTCTAAATGCATCTCGCTTTCCGGAAAACTCGGGACGTGGTCGTTTATGTCCAAAACTTCAATAGTTACATAGTGGATTTCAAGTGGGTTTTCTAATGCGATTTTTAGATTGATTAAACACGGAGTGCTTCTCTCGCAGATCTCCTCTCTATCTATCTTACCGTTTACATACAAGACACCGTCGTTCTTATTCACAGTGAACATTGACTGGCCTGAGGTCGAGACGATGCGAAATCCTCGCTCCTTTAAGGTTCTGTGATCTATGCCCAAATCCTTCGCGATATTTCCCACCGCAGCTCCGTCCCTCTGCTCCTCTGAGATGGAGTACTGAATTTGCGCTCGTGCCACCGCACCAAACACAAGCAATGCAGCCATTAGAGTGAATTTTGCGTGCTCTTTCAGCCATTGCGCGAATCTTCTTTGTTCCATTCTGAATATAATACAGACAAGGATCTACGCAATTCCTCTGCTACACTCTATCGACTATATTAACCATTGCTTTCCCTCTAAAAGTTTACACTTACTGCCGAAAAAACTCGAATCGCTGAAAAGCAAAAGCAAGAATACACTAGAACAACCGACGAGCAGGATACACGAGCATTAAATGCGAAGGGGAGGAATAGCAGTATTTGACGTCATTTGCCGTACTCTAGGATTACACTGACACCTCGCGATCTCACAGCTGTAATGCATCACAATCTGCCAGTTGGCTTCAGCAAAATACAAGAGATATTAGAAACACGCGTCTATAGATACTGATAAAGCACCAATACAGAAAACAATACAAACAAAATAATTTAAAGAAAGAAAAAAAACAGTAGCCTATCATTGACCAGTGTCCATATCTTTCACCAGATCATACAGAAAAAGAAAAACAAAACTCGCTTACCTCTCCAGAATATCCTGCAGAGATCTGCTATTACTATTACTTTTATATATCTTTCTTCAACGGTTCTATGTTTGCATATTTAATATTGCTATTCTTTGGAAATGTAAAACATTCTTTTTACCATAACAGTTAAGTCTAAATTATAAATAAACCTGAATCTGAGAAAGAGGAAGACACTAAGAATGTTCCATTTGAAACAACAGCCTGAGCAGCTTCAGTACCATGGACAGCAACTGAAGTGTGTCTTAGAACTGTTTCCTTCAACTAATACACAGATGTAGAAGTGATTTGCTTACCTCTCCAGAATCTCTCCTCCTGCGATCTGGTATCACTAGAGTATTCCTATTACTGCCTGGCGCTATTGTAGAGCCGATACTCATTCTGGGTCCAACTAACATGTACCGTTTGTCTCCAGATCTGTACTGGATGCTGTGACACAGAGTCCCGTCGTAATTTGTCTCCTGTAAATACTTGGACGAATAGTTTGTAGATTTAGAGCACTGCATCACAATCAACACGATGATGCTGATGACAAAAAGCACTGAAACCGAGCCCAAAGTGATGATCAGATAAAATGTCACGTCGTTTTCCTCCTCGTCTTTTACTGCGTTTTTAACATCAGAAGCTGCAAAAGCCTCTTTGGGCTCCACAACTTTGACAATCACAGTCGCTGTTGCTGAGAGTGAAACGTTCCCATTGTCTTTGACCAGTATGAGCAGTTTATGCTGGGCCTCGTCTGTTTCTGTGAATGAGCGAAGGGTTCTTATCTGTCCTGTATAGCGGTCCAAACTAAAGAGACTGTGGTCACTAACTTCCTGCAGTGAAAACAATAACCAGCCGTTGTATCCTATATCTGCGTCATAGGCTCTGACTTTAGTGACCAAATGACCAGCGTTCACATTCCGGGGAATCTCTTCCACACCCTCAGCAGAACCGTTAGCGCTGACTGGATATAAGATCACTGGAACGTTGTCGTTCTGATCCAGAATAAACACGTTCACTGTGACGTTACTGCTCAGAGACGGACTTCCAGAGTCTCTAGCGAGTACGTAAAACTGAAACGTTTTAATTGTTTCGAAATCAAAACTTTTAAGCGAGTGAATGACCCCTGTTTCCGAATTTATATTCAAGAATGACGTTATGTCGTTCTGTGTCCCTCCACCTCTATTTATATGATACGAAATCAAAGCATTTTCATTCACATCTTTATCAGATGCTCTCACTGAGAATATTGAGGCTCCGGGAGCCAGTGTTGGGGGTAACGAGTTACAAAGTAACGGATTACAGTAACGATATTACTTTTTTGGGTAACGAAGTAAAGTAACGCATTACACTAAAAATATCGGTAACTACACTACTTTACTATACTATAGGAACGCGCTTTCCTGCGTTACCCAAGCCGTGTTTGCTTGTGTGTAAAGTTCTGTCTAGTGGTGCGTGCGCACCGTTGCCATAGAGATCGATTTGAGTGACATAGCTGCCGGTGCGAAGGAGAGAGGGAAATGGAGACGGAGACGGAGACAGGGGGTCTCTGCAGCGCGAGTCTCCGCTGACTGCACGCGCACCTCCCCAAACGGACGAGGCGTTTATACTCGACGCGCTCGCCATTGTACTATTCTGTGAGACGGGGCGACTCGAGTAATTGTCCTCTTAACCATCAGGAATCAACGGTGAGAAGAAGAAAGGTCCACACGTGACGATGTTTATTTTAGTAGGCTACATCACCACCAATAACACTACAAAAAGAATCGTGTACGTAAAATCCAGTAAACCCTGAGATTATTACTTGTGACATTAGAACAAAATGTGGATATAAAAACATGTATGTAGACTATAGAACTAAATCAACGATCTCTTAAATGGTTTCTAATTTCACTAAACATTTCATTAAGTTTCGTGGACATTTGATAAAACATGGATCTTTCTATTAAAAATGCTTATTATGCTATTGTAGGCTCATTTTGTAAACATAAGCAACTGATTTAGACACGCAAACTGTGTGCCGATGCGGTCACGGTGAGACGTAGACTACATGCTCGGGCAGATTCGGCTTCTTGAAGTCGTTCATCCTCGGATTCGGCGCCGCGCGCGCTGTTACAAAAACTCTTCTCAAGTCTTGGAGCACAGCAGGTAACACAAAACAAAATAAAATGAACAGGCTTGTTGCAGGGTTCATTGTAGAGGAATGCTTCCCCTGCCGACTATTGAATCGCCAAGAAAAATGCATTTTAAATTAAGATCAAAAATGTAAAAGTGACCTTTATTTTATTATTTTTCATTGACCACTTCATTTTTTATTTTTATTGCCATGAGTCGAATAAAAAGCTTGTTTTGTTCTCAGGAGAAGAGTTTATTCTCATGTTTCCCAAAGCCTGTGTTTTAAAACTTGTGTGTTGACCCCATTTTAAAATGACCGCATCATAGCCTCCTTTATCCTGTTGTTTGTGGATTTTACAGTGAGATATATTTCCTTGTGCAGACAGGGATATTGTTCTTTCATATGGTTTTACATGCCATTTTGTATATATTTATACAATAAACACTATGTAGACAGGCAAAGTGATGATAGGGCTATGATATTTGTCCATAAATTAAGAAACGGGAAAGTAAAGTAATAAGTAGTGAAGTTACTTTTCAAACGCAGTAACTAGTAAAGTAATCTCATTACAATTTACAGAAGTAACTAGTAACTAGTAACTAATTACCTTTTTTGAGTAACTACCCCAACACTGCCGGGAGCATTATTTTCAAAAATGTAAAGTTCAAGGAAATTACTAGAAAACTCAGGTTTGTTGTCATTCACATCTGCTACTTGGATGCTTAATGTTTTAATGGATGATAAAGGGGGCTGACCTAGATCTGTTGCTGTAACTATGATGTCATAGTGGGGCACAAGTTCACGATCCAAACGCCCCTTTGTCACTAGCGAGTACATATTATCTTGGAAAGAGGGTTTCAGCTCAAAAGGAACATTATCTGAGAGACTACACACAACTTTACCATTGACACCAGAGTCTTTATCTGAGACACTTATCAAAGCAATTACTGTGCCAGGTTTGGAGTCCTCGGCAACAATATTAGATAATGATGTCAGTTCAATTTCAGGCTTATTATCGTTTATATCTTGTATCTTTATAATAACTCGTCCTTGGGCAGACAAAGGAGGCTGACCTTTATCTGAAGCCTGAACATCCAGTTTGTAAACGTCCGTGTCTTCAAAGTCTACATTGCCTTTAATTTTTATTTCGCCTGTAATGCTATCCAATTGAAATACGTCATAAACTTTGCGCTTTAAAGTTTTGCCAAGTGAATACTCAATTTCACTGTTTGAGCCCTCGTCCCTGTCAGTTGCCTTTATTTTAATTACAGTAGTTCCAATTGGGGAATTTTCTTGTAAATTGACAGAATATGGGTCTTGACTGAACACTGGGCGATTATCATTAATATCCAATACGGTAACGGTGATGTTAAGGGTACCTGATTTGGGAGGGTTTCCACCATCGAGGGCTTTCAAAATCAGCAAATGTTCTGCCTTATTTTCGCGATCGAGTGGTTTCCTCAACACTAAAAAGGGGATTTTGTCCTCATCGCTGTCTCTAATGTCAATCTCGAAATTTTCATCCAGACTTAATTTATACAAACGAACAGAATATGGTGCGGCATCCTGGTCTCGTGCTGCGTGCAGCTGGAAGCTCGTTCCTGTAGGGGTGTGTTCTGCAATCTCGAAATGCTGATTCTGTTCAGAAAAACTAGGATGGTTGTCGTTTATGTCTGTTATTTCTACTGCAACATAGTGAATTTCTAAAGGATTTTCGACTGCAGTTTTTAGATTTACTACGCATGCACCATTTCCTTCACAAAGCGCCTCCCTGTCTACGCTTTTGTGAATATACAATTCGCCATTGTTCTGATTTATTTGAAAAAACGCGTCTTTAGACCCAGAGACTATACGGAACCGTCTGCCCACCAACGTACTCACGTCAAGTCCCAGATCCTTAGCAATATTTCCCACAACGGATCCCTCTTTCACCTCTTCTGGAATAGTGTATCGTATCTGGGCTGAAACCTGCTGTCCAAAGCCGAAAAGAAAGGAGAAACACAGAGAAATCAACCAGTACTCCCATCGGCGCCTTTGTTCATCCATCGTTAAGGATTCCTTTAAAGCAGCTTAAAAGAAGTCACGTTTTCAGTTAAAATTGTGTATTCCCAAACGCAACATTCTTAAATAACATCGATACAATTTTAGAATATGTCCCTCCCTCGGCTTCTCGCGCTACACTCGTCAGCTGCTATCACAGTTTAACTGAACGGAACAGCCATGCGCGCCACATAAAGGCAGGGTCAAATCTCTACTTCATATCCTAATGTAACACTGACACCACATGGTACAAAAGGAGAAGTAAATGTAAACTCTTACGTTGCAAAAAAAAGAAGAAGATGCAATTATGAATGCTTTAAGACAATCAATAACATTTGCAAAAAAATAACAAAAACGAATAAACAAATGCAAGAAGAAAATTTACGCTTTTAGATATTTAAACCATCCAATTCCCCCCAAAAGACATTTCAACCTACACAAATCTTAAATGAACGTTAGGGCATTATTAACGTATAAATTTTAAATACTGAGCAAAATAACAATAAAGAGTTAGAAAATCAGATATACTACCAAAGCAGTCCCTAGGCTTAGACATATTGTCCATTATTTCTTTAAATTCGCTTACCTCTCCAGAATCTCTCCTCCTGCGATCTGGTATCACTAGAGTATTCCTATTACTGCCTGGCGCTATTGTAGAGCCGATGCTCATTCTGGGTCCAACTAACATGTACCGTTTGTCTCCAGATCTGTACTGGATGCTGTGACACAGAGTCCCGTCGTAATTTGTGTCCTGTAAATACTTGGACGAATAGTCTGTAGATTTAGAGCACTGCATCACAATCAACACGATGATGCTGATGACAAAAAGCACTGAAACCGAGCCCAAAGTGATGATCAGATAAAATGTCACGTCGTTTTCCTCCTCGTCTTTTACTGTGTTTTTAACATCAGAAGCTGCAAAAGCCTCTTTGGGCTCCACAACTTTGACAATCACAGTCGCTGTTGCTGAGAGTGAAACGTTTCCATTGTCTTTGACCAGTATGAGCAGTTTATGCTGGGCCTCGTCTGTTTCTGTGAATGAGCGAAGGGTTCTTATCTGTCCTGTATAGCGGTCCAAACTAAAGAGACTGTGGTCACTAACTTCCTGCGGTGAAAACAATAACCAGCCGTTGTATCCTATATCTGCGTCATAGGCTCTGACTTTAGTCACCAAATGACCAGCGTTCACATTCCGGGGAATCTCTTCCACACCCTCAGCAGAACCGTTAGCGCTGACTGGATATAAGATCACTGGAACGTTGTCGTTCTGATCCAGAATAAACACGTTCACTGTGACGTTACTGCTCAGAGACGGACTTCCAGAGTCTGTGGCAGCAACTCTGAACTGGAACTTTTTAACAGTTTCAAAGTCAAAACTCTTCAGCGCATGGATAACGCCAGTTTCATGGTTAATACTGAGAAACGACGACATATCACTATCTGATCCATTTCCTCTAACTATGTGATATGAAATTGCAGCATTTTCATTTAGATCTTTGTCTGACGCGCTCACAGAGAATACTGATGCACCAGGAGTGTTATTTTCCACTAAATACAGCTCGAGGGGATTTTTGTCAAACTCTGGTTTGTTATCATTAACATCAGCCACCTGCACAGTAACGGTTTTAAAAGAGGAAAGAGGCGGCTGACCTAGATCACTGGCTTTGATTGTGATTTTATAATCTGCCACAAGTTCCCTGTCCAAGAAATCTTTAGTAATTAAAGAATACAAATTTTCCTGAACAGATGGTTTTAATTCGAACGGAACATTGTCAGAAAGACTACAAACAACCTTGCCATTAACACCAGAGTCTTTATCTGATACACTAATAAGAGAGATTACAGTTCCGGGTTTTGAATTCTCGGAAATTATGTTAGAAAGGGACGTGACTTCTATCTCGGGTTTATTATCATTCTCATCTGTGATCTTTATAATGACTCTGCAGTCAGTGGTCATCGGCGGCTGTCCTTTATCCGTGACCTGGACGGTCAACCTGTGTATATCGTTCTCCTCAAAATCAATTGGCTCTTTAATTTGAATTTCACCAGTTACACTATCAAGGCTAAATGTTTCATGTACTTTCCTTCTACTAGTTTTTCCCAGAGTGTAAATAACCTCTCCATTTAAACCCTCATCAGAATCAGTAGCGTTTACGCGTGCTATTACTGTCCCTATATGTGTGTTTTCTGGAAGAGTTATTGAATATAGATCTTTAATACATACAGGGCGGTTATCGTTGATATCAAGAACAGTAATAGTAATATTTAAAGCACCTGACTTCGGAGGGATGCCTCCATCCACTGCAGTCATCACAAGTCTATGCTCTGAATTTTTCTCTCTGTCTAAAGGTTTAAGTAAGACTAAAATTGGATTATTTTCCTCTTCGTCGCCGTCTCTCATTTCCAGCTCAAAGTAAGTATTCTTTGCTAGTTTATAAAGCCGAATGGAATTGCTCCCAATGTCTGGATCTCTTGCAGTTTGTAGTTCGAAACGTGCACCTTCAATAGTGTTTTCAGCCATTTCAAAATGCTGCTCTTTCTCGGGAAAACGAGGACTGTGATCATTCACGTCTGTAATTTCTACTGCAACATAATGTATTTCAAGTGGATTTTCAACGGCGATTTTCAGATTGATCAAGCACAAGCTATTTCCATCACACAGCTCCTCTCTGTCAATCTTCTTATTAACATATAATTCGCCATTGTTTTGATTTACCTCAAAAAGAGCATCTTTCGATCCAGAGACGATACGGAAACGCCTGTCCACCAAGGTATTCATATCAAGACCCAAATCCTTTGCAATGTTTCCCAAAACAAATCCCTCAATTACCTCCTCTGGTATAGAATATCGTATTTGGGTTGAAACCTGCATCCCGAAGCTCAGCAGCAAAGAGAAACACAAAGCAATCCACCAGCACTCCCATTCTCGTCTTTGTCCTGTGGATTCCATCGTTAAAAAAAAATCCTTTAAAAAATAAATAAAATTCAGATATTTTGCAAGAGTGGGCTACTCATTCATGACAGCGTGTATTCTTTGTAATATTGTCGCTTTTAAATAATAACAGAGGGAAATTTTCATATCCAGCTTCTCGTGAGACAGACTAGCTCCCATCTCAGTGTAAACGAACTGAACAGAGCATGCGCACCACATATCAATGGGCATGGCAAATTCTCTCATGCATAACCTTATGTAACACTGACACCAAATGGTACAAACAGGTAAACATGAATTGTTATGGAACCTTAAGGAGACAGCAAAATGACAGCCCAACATAACTTTTTTCAAGTATTGATTTAACATTACGCAAATATTCTTATCGCATCATCCCTATTATGCATACATTTGAAATGGTAAAACTAAAGAGGAGAATAAGTCATTTTCGACCAAACTATAATAGGAAAGGACGGATGCATTGCAAAGGTGAAACATTTCAGCACCATGGATAGCGAATATTCAAACTTCTAAATCTTAACAAATAAAAGCAACAATGAATAAATGGTGATCTTATAAGTCAGAACATAAACATATTACATAGTGAACGAGATACTGAAATCAAAATGTACAATTTGTTAACAGTAAGCCTGAGAAAGGTGTTTAATATAATTCACAAAGCTCTTACCTCTCCAGAATCTCTCCTCCTACGATCTGGTATCACTAGAGTATTCCTATTACTGCCTGGCGCTATTGTAGAGCCGATACTCATTCTGGGTCCAACTAACATGTACCGTTTGTCTCCAGATCTGTACTGGATGCTGTGACACAGAGTCCCGTCGTAATTTACGTCCTGTAAATACTTGGACGAATAGTCTGTAGATTTAGAGCACTGAATCACAATCAACACGATGATGCTGATGACAAAAAGCACTGAAACCGAGCCCAAAGTGATGATCAGATAAAATGTCACGTCGTTTTCCTCCTCGTCTTTTACTGTGTTTTTAACATCAGAAGCTGCAAAAGCCTCTTTGGGCTCCACAACTTTGACAATCACAGTCGCTGTTGCTGAGAGTGAAACGTTCCCATTGTCTTTGACCAGTATGAGCAGTTTATGCTGGGCCTCGTCTGTTTCTGTGAATGAGCGAAGGGTTCTTATCTGTCCTGTATAGCGGTCCAAACTAAAGAGAATGTGGTCACTAACTTCCGGCAGTGAAAACAATAACCAGCCGTTGTATCCTATATCTGCGTCATAGGCTCTGACTTTAGTGACCAAATGACCAGCGTTCACATTCCGGGGAATCTCTTCCACACCCTCAGCAGAACCGTTAGCGCTGACTGGATATAAGATCACGGGAACGTTGTCGTTCTGATCCAGAATAAACACGTTCACTGTCACGTTACTGCTCAGAGACGGACTTCCAGAGTCTGTAGCGAGCACATGGAACTGTCCTGTTTTCATCGTTTCAAAATCAAAACTTTTCAGCGCATATATAGCTCCAGTTTCAGAATTGACATTCAGAAATGAAGCCAAATCTCCTTTTGTTTTGTCATCTCGAATTATATGGTATGAAATAACAGCATTATCGTTTATGTCTTTGTCAAGTGCGCTAACTGAAAAAATAGATGCACCTGGTGAATTATTCTCTAATAAGAAGATCTCGAGAGGATTTTGAGGAAACTCTGGCTTATTATCATTCACATCTGAAACATCAATGCTTAAAGTCTTCACTGAGGACAGAGGAGGTTGCCCTAAATCAGTGACCGTTAATAAAATATCATAATGAGTAATCATCTCGCGATCTAAAGCCCTTTTCGTCACAAGCGAATACATATTTTCTTGAAAAGAAGGTTTTAGCTCAAACGGAGTCCCTTCAGGAAGACTGCATACTATTTTTCCGTTAGCACCTGCGTCTTTATCTGTTACACTAATCAGTGAAATAACAGTTCCTGGTTTGGAATCCTCAGGTATTAGATTGGAAAGCGAGGTGACCTCGATTTCTGGTTTATTGTCATTTAGGTCTGTAACTTTTATGATAACTCTACAGTTTGTCGTCATGGGAGACTCTGCACTGTCTGAGGCTGTGACGTCAGCTCTGTATACTTCTGTGTCTTCGTAATCAACATCACCAATAACACGAATTTCACCTGTATTCCTGTCTATTTCAAATGTGTCATACACCTTTTTCTTTAAATTGCTCACAAAAGAATATTGTACGTTACCATTTAAACCCAAATCTGCATCTGTTGCATTCACTTGTAATATCAGACTCCCTAAAGGAAGATTTTCAGAAATTG